CTTCCTTAATGGTACCGGAGCTCAGTCTTTCTTCTATACGACTGTTGATTTAAGAGTTTGGTCTGTCTGAATAATGCAACATATCTTCCTGTCTGCTGCAGCTCTTCAATCTCCGATAGAATACCAACGGAGGGAAAGTAAGTCAAACAGCCTGGGCAGGAACACAAAGTCTCCGTCTACATCAGCATCTGGCCTGTGGCCTCACTCCTCAGCATCCGTGGACAGGCGTCAGCAGCCCTGCTTGCTGTCTTATAACACCTCCTTGCCCTCTATGCATTCATCCCAGCACAGCCCGGCCTCGCAAACGGTGCGTGTGACACAGCAGCGCTCACCATCATATTTATGCACAAACATGCATCTGTATTTTTCTCACAATTTAACTTTGACTTCTTTGTCTCTTTAAGGTGTCTAACCCTTGCGTGGTAACACTTCGTGCAGCTCACCCCTCACTTTCCTCCCCCATGCAGCTCAGTCTGTGCTCAGAGGTGAGACGTGACTGTGGCACATCCAATGGCCTGGCTCCCTGCAGCTATCACAGCCTGCAGGTAAATAATACACAACACTGACTGACCTCAGTTATTTAACAGATGAGGCATCTGCCATGCTGATAATTTATTCTTCCTGAAAGAAAATACGGTAAAAGTTGCTTACGGTCTATAGTTATGTACTGGTGTCATCAGTGAACATTTAAAGTGTCTATTTGAACCCAAATTATGTGTATAGGTAGAAATTCACATTTAACGATTACATTTGCAGGCAGCCAATTGAGTCGGGTCCCTTTGAGCTATGGTCATTGGTCAAAGACTCATTCAGACTGATGGCAAAATGTCACAAGTCTGTCTGCATTTATAAATTAGCAGGTTTTTTTTGCAAAATTTCAACAATGTCTCTAAGAGTGATTGCAGTCAGTCCAAGTCAGACTGCAACTGTTTGCAGAAAGATCCAATCAGTCGTCTGGACAATTGCCCTGTCATCAAAGGGATGGTGAATGTGCACAACCATCAAGCTCTGGGCAGCCATTTAGTCAACACTAGTTGCAGTCGGCTGCAGAATGTGATATCAATGCAGTCAGCATTTCTAAATAAAATAAAGTGATGTAGATCAGCTCTGTGGAGCTGGTCTGTGTGCGTGGACTGAGGCTGTTTGTTGTGGCGATCACTGATGGTGATGGGAAATGACTCTCTGTATGCCTTTGTGAAAATATCCTGTTGTTGTTACTGCATGGATTTACAAACCTGGTTGACCTAACCTGCAGCCAGTTTATGGAAAACCCGTTGACCTGCTCTTTTATCTCATTCATTCAGACTTCCACCAAGAGGAAGAAGCAGTTTGATTACAATACTTATTAGACGTGCTGATCTGGCCTGATTCCACAAAGTTGTTCTTGTCCTCTTGGCTTGCTCCTTGTGTTTTGGATCAGCTGTGTTTCTATTGTGCTTTAAATGCACAAGAAAATAAAATAAAAGTTTCCTATCTACCTTTTCACACAGCCTTTGTCACACATGTCATGCATGATTCCTGACTCCGTGCCATTTTTATGTAACAGCTTCTTAATTACATTTATGTAAAGAAAGTCACTGAGTACCAGTTCATTTTTCATTACTGATGAAGTAACTGCACATAACTTTTGCAGCCCTATTCTCCTAGATCCAGGCTAAAAGAGCAGAGGTGACAGGGCCTTCATAATCGGTGCAACAACTGACCTTTTCACATATGATTTACCTAATGACTAAAAAACCCCTATTTGTTCTTGCTTGCTTTGAGTTCTACTTGAGCAGGGTTTCCTGGCTTTTTATTATGCAAGCATAGCCTTATTTACTTCTCGTATTACTTTAATTGATTAAAGTTTCTATTTTTAAAATGTATGTTTATAGTTTTTTTTGTGCATACTGTATTAAATAATTTAACAATTTTTGTTTAAATTACCTCAAATTTACCTCAAGTGGTGAAAACAAATCACTTTATTCTGCAAATGCTAATATTACAGCCTTAACAGCACAATTCTTTTATCTCCGTGTTATTTTTAAAGTTTGCCTTTTCAGTCTTATTTTGCAAATGTACTAAATTACACTGATGCCAGAATCAATCACCTGATTAACAGGAAGCCTTTGAAAATCTGCAGTGTGTCTTTGCTTCAAATGCCAGTGTAAAAATTGCCTATTTCCTCTCAGGGTGTGCCCGCCAGTTTCCAGACGATCACATTTAAGGACGCTGGGACTTATTCAGCGCATCAACTAAATAACTTGGATCAGCTCAAGGAGAGCGAGCAATAATGCGCTGCAGTGTCACATGAACTCAGTTTACCCTTCTGGAGCTGGAGTACCTCGACTAGGTCTGACTGCCAGGACACTTTGTTCCACTCATGTACACAAGCTGTCCGAGTCTGCGCGTCTCTGTTTTCACATATTGTCTCATATTTCCTTTAGGCTTATAATGTGGGGACTATTCTAGTGAAGTTACTTTGGTGTGACTGTATTCATTTGAGTGCATCTGCATATACATTACCAATCAGCTATAACATTAAAAACAAGATGAACCGAAGAGTTCCGATCATCTCTTGCAATGCAAAAACCTGCTGCGAAGCCTTAGGTGCTGCCATTCATCTGGATGTTACGCTGATATTCAGAGACCATCTAAATAATGTTTCTTCCACCTTATTAGCGAAGCAGCCTCTTCCAGCTGGACAGTGCACAATACGCACTGCAAAAACTGGACGTAAAGTCAGATTTGTTGACTTGGCCTCCAAACTTTACCCATTCTGACTGAGGATCTGCACGAAGGCACGAGGAAGCCCCGTCCACAGGCAATACGTCCATTCCACAGAACACAAAGTTTTCCACAGACTCAGTGAACCTGCATCCATGCCTCCAAAGCTGGGATGCCAAATTTGTTTTACATTGAGGGGGCACATATAGCCCACTTTGATTTCAAGTGGCTTAGGTTTATCTACACATTTAATGCCTGTGATATCTTAATATAAGAAAAAAGTGCAATTTCAAAATTTTGTCTCAGTTTTTCTGCTTGATTAAAAAAAATGTTGCCATAAGACATGAACTAATTTTATCAGGATGACTTTGGGGTTAAATTGTAAGAAATAATTGTGTAAAATTACAGAAAAAGTTCTGGTACCTCATTTCCTTGACTGTCCTGTAATTATAAAACAGAACATTGTTGTTAATTCACATTTTTAAAATTATTTTATCATTATTGTTTTTAATGTGGACCCATTATAAAACAAACAAACAAGAAATGTTTTAAGAGTACATATTTAAGAGTAAAAAAAATGGGGGCAAACAAAAATTCTGTTTTTTTTCTAATTGTTAATACTTTAGTGTAGCATGAATGCAGGGGGGCGGTCCTTATCAGCAGAAAAAGCTGTTAAATATACCAAAATAGAGTTAAACGTCGAGACTACGCCCTCTTTCACATTATCCAGTAGACCAGATTGGTGTCTGTGTCAGGAAGATTCTGGCCCCCAGGCCTTATGTTTGACACCCTTTCTCCAAAGAGGTCATTTCACTAAGCAGGTTATTTTAATGTTTTGGCTGATTGGTGTAAATGCAGGCATATATTTCCTCTCAGGGTGTGCCCGCCAGTTTCCATATGTTTATTTATCAGCTTACATATTATATATATATATATATATATATATACATATATACATATACATATACATATATATGTGTGTGTGTGTACATGAAGTGTATATATCTGTGTCACCACAGAGACTGTGCTTCACGGTGTTTATGTATTCATTTCTTCCTGTTTCCTTTGAAAATTCTTTGATGGATCTTTGTATAATGCGTAATATTTTCACAGGAGACCAATTCCACTTTATTCCCACAGAGAACTGAGATCTTAAATCCCTCCTCAAATAACTGTATCCATGAAATTGCCAAGTGACTGTAAATCCCAGTTATAGTCCAGGATCTCAATCCACACGAGTTATGTGTATCCCTGCAGTCCCTGGAGATTAGCGAATAGCTGTGCTTTCTGTCTGGTGGCCTGTTTTAACCCTGCCATTGTCAGTCTTATCTGAACTAAACATATTTGTGGACTTACACAAAGCACGTGTCATAACCAAGCAGAGAGAGGAAAAAGGGAACACAGATAAAACCGAGGTGCTCATTTGTCATTGTCGTCTTGAATGTAAATAATTTTGTGTTGGATCATATCGGTGAATCTCGTGCTGTCCTGATACACTCGTGGAATTAAAGAAGTTGTTCAGATATTTGTTATCATCATTTTTAGTTTTTCACTTCATGTGTCTCTTTTAGCGTCTCCTGACTGTTGTGTGTCTCTTGTTATTTGGTCCCATTGAGTAACTTGTTCTCGATATTTGCTTTGGCCCTTGTGCCTATGAGGTCTCAAGGCTGATAGGTCAGTTCATTTATCCTTCCATGTTTCCCGTCTATTTTAAATATAAATGACACATTAAAGCATAGTTGCTGGGAAATATGAATTATTTCCATCTTAAACCAACAGTCTGCAATCGATCAGTCAGAGTGTAAGTCAGCAGCTATTTCCTGTCATTTATTGTCTTTTCCATGAATTAGTTTTCCTAATACAGGCCAGAGGACCCCTTCCTAGCCTCATTATAATGTGCAGTGTATAACTTAATGGATGCCTTTGGTCGCTATCCAGAAGATTTATGTTCCCAAATGTGCAATAATCAGGTTGTTTTGTCTTGTTTTTATAAGATTATTTAAAAAGAAAATCCAAACGAAACATCGAAGCTGCACACAATCTGATCTCTGGTCTACAAAGCAGGGAACCCGATGGTGCTTAGCACCCTCTAGTGGAGGGAAATGCTCATCATTATGAATTAAAGAGTGAGTCACAATGTGAGCTCTTTAATTTACCAGTTTACAAGTCAAATATTTTATATTATGATTAATTATATGGTCTAACTAATTAATTATTATATTTTTATATTAAAAATTGCAGCTGGGTTTATACACATACATATAAACCAAATTTTTATACAGTAAGCAAAATCATGAAAAGGCATAAACTCGCGCTGCTGGCACCTGCTCTACACTTCTGAACATAAAACATTTCAGTACTCCAAGCAAAAGACTGCCTGAAATTTCTGCATCACACAGAGGCCATTTGTCCTTCAGTCATCTGACTATGTGACACACAACATCCTAGTGGTCTCGTTGTTCATTTGCATTGCATAGACTCACACTGCCTCATCTTTTACATGTTTGTCTGCTTGTTTAACATCTTAATATTGCTACTGAAAATGAAGACGAAACCTTGTAATTAATACGAAGGCTTTTGTTTTTTATTTTTGTGCTTGGCGGAATTTTAAGGGAACATCCATTATGCAGTTTCTCTGGGTGAAACTGACCAGACTGCGTTGAGCTGATAGGAAGGCAACGGTAACTTAAATAACCACTTGTTACAACAAGGTTGTAACAAGGTGTGAAGAAGCAGAACCTTGAAGCAGCTGGGCTACGGCAGCAGAATACCACACAGAGGATCATTCCTGTCAACTAAGAACAGGAAACCGAGGGTTAAATTGAACTTTTGCTATCAAAATCTGGTGGTAAGCAGTAAAGCACAGATCCATGCTGCCTTGTATAAACAGTTTAGTCTGCTGTTGATGGTGTGAGGGTGTAGAGGATATTTTCTTGGCACAGATTGGGTCCCTAAATACCAACAGAGAATTGTTTAAATGCCACAGCCTATCCGAGTACTCTTGCAGACCATATTCAACCCTTTATCACCACATCGAACTGGTATTTTGATGACTGCCTCCAGCAGGATAATGCACAACGTCACAAAGCTCAAATTATCTCAGACTGGTTTCTTGAGCATGACAATGAGTTCCCTGTACTCACATGGCCTCCACAGTCACCAGCTCTCAATCTAATAGACCAGACTCGGGATGTGGTGGAACGGCAGATTCTCATCATGGATGTGACGCTGATGTGGACCAAAATCTCTGAGGAATGTTTCTAACAACTTGTTGAATCTTTGCCACAAATAATTAAAGCTGTTTTGAAAGAAAGACAGGGCACAACCTGGCACGAGCAAGATGAAGCTAGATATAAGACTCCTTACCTGCATGTTCCTTCATGTTCATGGCCCTCAGTACCTCTCTGATCTCCTTCAGCTCTACACCCCCAGCCCCACCTGAGAAATCTTCCTCCTGTGTTGACATGTGGTTGCTGTACATTCCTCTCTCCAAGTTTCAGACGCTCAGGGATAGAGCCTTCAGCTTCCAGGCTCCGACACTCTCAGACAACTTCAGTCATTAAATTCAAAACCTGGTTTTAAACGCAGGCTTTTAGTCTCAAATATAAACCGTGCTTGCTATTATTTGACAGTTTTTGCCTCTCATCTATCATGTTCATTTGCTTCAGTAGCATAAAAGATGTGCTCATAAATTAAGTTCTGTAATCTGTAATCAAAAGACTGTAATCTATTGTAAGTCAGCGTCTTCATCCTTTGAACCAACATCACAACATTGAACACAAGATTTCATTTTTTTTTCCCCACACACATTTTTTATAACATTTGAAATGAATGTAAAAACTCTCATAATGCTCAAACAACTCATATTTTTTTGTTTTGGGTGTGGGGGTGGGTGGGTGGGTGAAGCAGGCAACAAATGATTTCTGTGTCCACACAATAAACATCACTGTTAAAAAAAATTCTACATCTGTCAACACTTACAAATTAAAATGTGAGACAAATTCTTCAGTACACAACTACATACAAACCAAGCAGCAGGAACACTGCTGTTAGTTTCTTCCATCAACAGAACGAACGTCACATTTTGGTGAAAAATAGAAATGAATTAAAAGTCACAAACAGATGCCGGTGTAGCTCAGAGCAGATCAGGTTCGATTCCGATGTGCTGCTTTCTGACCCGACACCCCCCTGCTTACTTGTCTCTCTTCACTGTTCTATCTAATAAAAGGCAAACAAATTTTTAATAAATTAATAAATAAAATAGTTACAAATCAGTCGATATTTCTCTTGGGGATTAAAAAAAACAGTTGATAAATCTCTGGCACCTTATTGCTAACAAAACAAAGTTAAAAAACTTGCTTAGGAAACAAATACAGTGATACAAGGGTGCCATCTAAAGACCATGGTATAAAAGAACAGCATCACCACTTGAGTCTCTGACATGCAGGAGTGCTCCAAAGAGGAGTTTCAGTATAAAAACTGTATTCTTGCTTCATCCCCCTCCCCCTTCTCCATCCTCTTTTCATAATGATGTGAGTATTTTACAAGTACTTTAGTTCAACCAATGTTTCTTTTGGCCACATGTAAAGATCCGGTGGTGAGCACTCAAACGCCTCGTTTTCCTCAGATGCTTGTTGGGGAAACAGACAAACAGCAGAAGACGACGATTACAGCTGCTCCCGCAACCAGGTAACACCTGATGAACTGAGACCAAAAGGTTCTCCTCCTCAGATCTTACTTATCTCTCCATGGGTGACACAAAAGGATTCTGGGTAATGGGCAGTAAAACCATAATGCACACACAGATTAAAGCACCCAAGAGCTAGCAGCATCCAGACCTTTGGCACGGCCAGTCAGTACCAGAACCCGACAAATGAAAAGACTTGGAACACGTTCTTCATGTGGCATTGGCAAGGAGGTCACACTGGAGCTCCGAGTCTGCAGCTCTGTCACTTAACTGATAGGGTTTGTTGTCACTGACAGAAAGACCTTGTTCCAAGCTCAATTCTATATTCGGCTAGTGCAAATCGAAGGAGAATGCATGCACATCTACCCAAAACAGCATGACAATGAAGTTACACTGGCTGCTACCTGTTCGGTTCTCCCAAAGCCTGGTCTTTGTGCAGGGTATGAGCAAGATCCCTTTATGACTCGAGATGTTACTGGGCACTGCAGCTCATTTTCTCCTGTCTTCACACCAAAAAGGAAGCCTAAATTTTTCTGTTGGGCTTCTAGATGCTAGAGGACTTTTTAGCTCACTGCAGAGCTGTGCACTGACAGATAAAACATGCTAAAACTGCTCTAAAGGCTGAAGCTGGAAAAATAATTTCAAGGTTCTCAAGAGAAGGCAAACCAAAATCTTATCTGACAGGGCGTGGGGGAGGAGAACTTCTTTGGCAACTCGGGGAGAGCGGAGGAACCTTCGAGAAAAAGAGGAGAGGGGAAGCTAATTATGAGTCAAGCACTGAAACCGATTCTTGAAGTACAGGAGGCCGTTTTTGGTGTGCGTGGCATCAGAGGAGGCTGATGGGTAACGGAACTTGGCGTAGGTCTTGTCGCTCTCTGACTGGCTTACCCAGGGTAGTTTGATTTTGGTCGCGTGATTGACAATGACATCATCGCAAGAGCCCACATGGAGAGAGCCGAGGCCATCGATGAAAAACTCTAGAAAAAAAAGGGAGAGGGGTAAACATCCCTCAGTGGGTCAGGAACACTTTTAATTGATGAAATATTGCAGGTATGAAAGTGAGGAGAAGGTGGCGTGAGCTAAATGTTCCATTTAAATCAGATTTCATTCAGTTTAATGTAGGTAAATTAAAGCCGAGCTGCGACTCCTCCATGGTGGTGTATGCTGATAAGAAAATGTCACAGCATAATTTGCTAGCAAAAATTATCTTGCACACGTTATCGTCTCAGTAAGTAAAATAAGATATGAATCTTTTTTCTTAAATTGCTAAGATATTGTTGCTATCAATACCTTAATCTGAGATATTCATCTCTCTTTTATTCTTAAATGATTAAGGAAACATTAAATTAACTTGATATGGCACACAAATTGACTCAGTGCTGCAGGAGGATAGAAAAACAATGAATATGAATATACGATAAAGTGCAAAAGTCTTGAGTTACACCTCATTTCTATATATTTTTCTAGAACAAATGGGAAATAGGTGATCAAAAACAGTGTTTGTACAATTCTAACAAGCTTGAAAGTAAATATTTGGTTTTACCACCTTTCTCCTTAAACACAGCCTGAGCTTTAGCTTTCCTATAATTTCTTGAAGCAGCCTTCAGGAATAGTTCTTCAGGCTTCTCAAAGGACATTCAAAGCTGAGTGTTTGCTGCCTTTTGTTCTGTTTTCTGATCCCACACTGCTTCAACAATGTTGAGGCCCGGGTTCTGGACACTCAAAGAAAGAAAAACTTTCAAAGAGCCTCTGAATGCCTGAAGAAATATTTTCCAAGACAATTACAAAAAAAAAGAATGGTGGCTCAAGACTTGTGTATAAATGCGTAAATAATAATAATGATAACTTTTTTTTTTTTCAATTTTGGCATATTTTTGCATCCGGCAGTCAAAACACTGAATAAATAACAGATGGCATGATGCTAAATTTGCTCCTTTGATATGAAAGGAAGCCCTGTACTCACCCAGATGAGCGACCCTGGTGAGGCGTGGGTCAAAGCCGACCTGCTGGACTTTGTCTGTGCGAGCTAAAAAGAAGTTGATGACCCCATCAGTCACAACGCAGTTGGGGAAGCCTTCAATGACGTGATGAAATCCTCTCCTCATGTGTAAACAGTCACCATCTTCCTCTCCTGGCTCAATGGAGATGGTTTGACGGTAGGTGGCGGTGTACCCCGTGGCCTCCCGCACTGCACCACCCACCTAGTTCACACACATAGATACACTGTCTCTGCAAGAGCCCCAAAACTTTAATATTAACTGAGAAAAAGAAAAAAAAAATTCTTCTGCTACTCACTAGATCCAGAGTGGTCCTTTCTAAAACATCCACAAGCTTCTCCAGCTTGGTGTTGGCTGTGAAGATGAAGTCATCGTCCACCCACAGTACGTACTTCGTGGTCACCTGGGACACGGCCAGGTTTCGGCCGGCAAACCAACCCTAAGAGACGCAACGCTGAGGTTTAGATTGAGATCGCATCACCAGTGACAGCAGGGAGAAGACTTCAGTGTGTCCTTACCTTTCCAAAGGGCATGATGTAATGTTCGATGTAAGGCCCAGAGATGGTTTGGGGATTTTCACTGTCATCAGCTATAACTATGGTAACAGTAGGGTAGTATCTTCTGATGCTGTCGATAAGATCTCTAAGCTTATCGTAACGCAGGAACGTTTTTGTGGCTATTGTCACGAGGGCGCTGATGTTGTACTCTGCAGAGAGTTGATGGAGGAAAACTGACTTTAGAAAGTGCTGTTTGACTCAGAAAGGACGTCTGACTTTAGTTATAAACACCGTCAACATGCCGGTGCTGTACCTCCTTTGGATCCAGTGTTGTACAGTTTAGGTGTTGTTCCGTGTCGGATCTTGATGCTGAAGACAGCTTGATGTCCCTCTGTCTCAAGCTGCACTAAAAGACCCCCGACACAAAAAAAACACGAGTATCATTAAGATAAAACTATGAATGCCTCACTCTCATCTGGTTCTCGTAAAGCATGTAGACATAACAATGTCATGTCTTTGTACAAAACCAATTTTTCAGACCCTCAGGTTAAAATGCTAAACTCTACAGCATTTTATAGACAATTCCAGTAAAAAAAACAACACAAAAAAAAACAAAACACAAAGCACTTTTAGCTCCTACGACTAATTTACCCTTCATAAAAACTCTACAGGGTTGGGATGACAAGTAAAGACAGAGATGTTATTAACAGATATTAACCCCCACGCCGAGTCGTTCGGTACTGGGACGCGAGAGTTGAAGCTCAGGTGTGAAATTTATGGTTTTCAGCATTTTTATTGTTAACTCCGTTTCCCTGGGTCTTTGTAGTTGTGTGTCTTATTTTGAAAGAAATATTTAAACGTTACCATAGCAACCAGAGAGCATTAAGGGGCAGAGAGGAGGATGTCACTCGCAATGTTGTTGGCACATTTTCAGGAGGAAAATGCTAATAAAGTTACACAATTACAAAGTGAATTCGCATTTATTATCATATTTACAAATTACCACAGTTTTTGTCTTGGTCATATCATTTTATTTTGTTGTATTTATCCGCGACATCTTAAAGGCCAGTTCGTGAAAATATTGTTTGACACTGGAGGTTGGGGATCACTGTATTAAAGCATATCCAGTGTTTAAACGGCCAGTTTAAGGAAAATATTAGTTCAGTTTAAATTTGATGGAAGCAACATGTCCCCAATTGAGACAGGAAATGCTGGAAAAGTAAGTGTTACTAAAAATAGAAAAGAAATAGCTAGAGGACCATTTAAGGAAAAAAGAAGCATCTTAAAAAGTTTTCTCAGAAGTAAAGAAGGGGAGAGGTTCACCAATCTGCATAAAACAGTGTCTACGGATTGTGAAAGAATTGTGTTCCTCACTGTAAAACTGTGAAGACTTTAAATATCTTGTCATCTGCAGTAAAAAAATATCATCGAAAGATTCAGAGAACCTTGATAAATCTCTTTTTGCAAGGGACAAGACAAGGCAATGTCTTGTTTCTGTTGGTTGAAATGGCAAAAAGTTGTTAAAAGAGCTTTAAAGACAGTTTTTCACTGTGGGTTTTACTTTTTCTTGTGAGACAGGAACACGGGGTTTGATGCACCAGTCCAGCTATGGTCATGTTCAAGTGTTCAGATACATTGTCATCCTCAGCGGAAAGATTGTGAAAGCCTTTCCTACTTGTGGTTAGGCAAATTCGATTTAATGTCCTACATCACTCAGATGCGCGTGCATTAAAGACAGACATGATTCTGTCATGAAGACAAAATGCTGATCTGCCTTTTTGTAAAAGGTCCATACTCTCATTATAAAGACTCAATGTATTTTCTAAGTTTTGCTGTGAATAAAATCGATTGCACTCAGTTTTTATTTACATTTTAAAAAGTGCCCCAGCTGTTTTGAAACTGGGTTATACTATACAGGCAGAAAGTCAAAAGACAAGGGCAAACATGCCTTCAGCCATTCAGGTTTTGTGCATGCTTACTATTGTCAATTTTGTGCGAAACAAAGAGGCTCTGATATCAGACTGAATCCTGCTTGGTTGCCCAATTCTAGCTCAAGAGAAACAGCTCTGCAAATAATTTTCTCTGCCAGGAATACCATACAAGAGCAGGTGTGAGGCCACTGAAAAGGGAAAAAAAAGCAAGGTACACAGAGTAGCTTAGTATAAAGGCTGGAGACACTCGGGAAGGTTAGCCACGTCTGATGATGTGATGATGGCAAACAAACAAAACAATCCTGGTGTTGTACAGACAGTGTTGGGGAGTAACGGAATACATGTACCGCCGTTGCATATTTAAAATACAAAATATGAGTAACTGTATTCTATTACAGTTACTTTGTTGAAAAAAATGGATTACACTGCGGTATTTTCCTGTTTCATATGTTAAGCTATGCCCTCTCTATATTTGGTAATTCCACGCCGGTGAAAACCCAAACAAAACGCGCATGAAGAGGCTCTAATGCCTGTGTCTCAATCTCGCAGCCCTACTTGCGGCCCGCATAATGACGTGAAGAAATATTTTTTTGAATTTTTACTCCAAAAATGATTTAATATCAAGGCAATAGGCAGAGTGTTACAGGCATAGCCCTAAAGAATGTAGCCTCATGGGCAGTGTAGTCCATGCAGCAGGGAGAATGGACTGCTGTACCCGTTATGTGTCTGTGAGCACGAGGGAGGGAGAAAAAGGGGAGTCTAAAAGTACGAGTTGCCACCTACCAGAAACGGGAGATGGAAGCATGCATGTCAGTCACCTCCTGCTGTACCTTCGTATATACTGTATATGCATGATCAAAGTATCAGAGTTTTCATCTAATGACCGAGAGTGAAAAAAAATCCACATATTGCTTTAAATTTAAACACAGATTCAAATTAGGGTGTGAGATGATTCTTTTTCTGTATCTTTACTTTCTCCTTTGTGGAATTTGCTGAAAAATACAGAAGAACAAAGTCCAGAGCCGATAAGACGGTGGATTGTTTCCGAGGGCTCACCTGTGTCTGCCGTGCTGGGATGAAACAGCGTGTTCGTGTAGGTGACGAACTGCAGCTGTCGGTTCATGTTCGGCAGCAGGCGGCTGGAAAGAGTCATGTGCATCTCGCCATCACCTTTGATTTTCACCTCGTCTACCTCCGCGGCCACATTTAGAGTTCCCAGCGTGGCAGTGATGTTTATCTGCACATGATGGAAAGAATAGCGGTCAAGGTCAGAGGACTGCAGGCATCTAAAATATTTAAAGACAGACACTTTTGAGCACTCACTGAGTAATTATCTCTGGGAAGGTCATGTAAGGCCAAGCCTGGAAAAGGAGAAACAAACACTGATTGATTTTCAGTCCATTTCCTGTATGGATAAATAAGGCCTTTCAGAGGGGTGACCTTAGAATATATGTAGGTACAAAGAATATCCAGTATATAAACCACCTCTAGTTCAGGTTAATTTTTAATGTTTAGGGGCCAGTTTAACTACTTTCAAATGATAAAACCATGAGACTTTCAAAAATATCTGAGTTGCTCACTCGCTGAAGTCGTACCTGGGATGATGCTTGTTTTCAGGGGTCGTACTTCCACCCCCTGTGTCGGATACTGCAAGGGGCTGTTAGCCTCAGCAATAATGAGTAGATCTGCAGGGGTCTTTGACCTGAAATGAGATTTTTTTTTCCATCAACAAGCACAGCAAGCAGAAAGCAGGAAGCTCTTCGCAAATAACAGTCACAATTACTATTATCCGCGGATATCATTATTAAAATGACCTCACGTTTCTTACTGGAGAGCAAAGCTTTTGATAAAAACAAGTTTTGTCGTATTAGGAATTAATTTCAGTACTTCTGAAAAGTTTACATTTTTCTGGAAAGGTGGCTAATTTTGTGTTACTTTTTAATTGCCTTCATCATTTCAAATGTTAATAACTAAAGTCAGTATTCAGTGGATTTTGTCTCACTGGCTCTCTCAGCCAGAGTTTATTCAATAAAGAAACTGAAAATTTAGTCTGAGTGATTCATAATAATGGCGTCGGGATTTGGGTTGTGACAGCGTCTGTGTTGCATGTAGAAGCCGCGTCGATGTTCACTATGATTCCTCTGTGTTTCTAAATGGAGGGACAGTAACTGTGTGTGTGTATGTAAGCGTGTAAAAACTGCAGATAGTAAGATTAAAAGCAACAGTATTTTATCTATACTTGCCATTGTACAAAATTCATCTCATGTAAACAATAACGTGACGCACAGCTTGACGTCAAAAAAAGGCGCTCACCTTTGACGTTGCGTGGCTAAATCTCTGTTTTCTTTGTACAGACGTAAACGCAAAACTTGAGTTTTTAAAAAACCTCTATTTTCAGTGATCCAGAACGCTTTTACGTGTGGACGAAAGGCCCGAACAAATAGAAAAAGCTGCATTTTCAAAAATACCCATCTATGTAGCCTTACTAATGCACAACTCCTGCACGATCCACAGAGATGTGGGGAGGTTTTAAGGCTGCCAGTTGTGTACAGGAAGCAAGCAAAAAGCAAGGTCTGTGTTTATATATGTTCTAATGCATGTATATTCAAACCGCGTAGTAACAAACCACAAAGCGAAGCAGATCAGCAGATAGTGATGTGAGATCATGGATGATTTTCCATGTTAGAGATAGATAAGTCTAAAAAACAATTTCCTGTAGCGTGCACTGAGACAGATGGATTATTTCAAGTAACACATTTTGTTACATCATTATTTAATTTAAATAAAACAACACATCAGGCCACATAATAATATTTTAGCCACACAGATAAAAAAAATGTGAAACATCTCTTAAGTACTCCTTACCTCGTCTGAAAGCTGCTGTACTCTTTAGCCCGTCTCCTCTTCATCTCCTCCAGCTCTGAAGCCTCGAAGGCAGTGTGCAGCGGGTGAGCTGACACCCGCGGGAACAAGAGTTGTGCGAACGGTAGGTTTACCCCCCCACTTTCGCCCTCACATATGCATCCATTACGTGCCAGCAAACTGGACAGATTATAAGACACGTGTGATCAGATTTAAGCTCAGGTCCGTCCGCTTTGGTTCAAAATAGCATTACTTACCTCGCCACATTATCCCTTACATGGAAGGGAATATTGCTCAATCGATGGTCTGACTCAGGGACCCTCTCTTCCAGATGCCTCTCTACTATAAACGCTGGTCGCTGCCAAACATCCACTGTGGTATAACCCCGAGTGGGCCACGAATGGAGGAGAGCCAGTACTAGCACCACAGACACCAAGATGACTAGCAACACCGTCTTCCTCATGGACCGCATCCTGGAACCTGTCAGAGATTAGAATGCTGGATGACGCTCTGGTTTCTATAATTATACTCTGACGATATTTCCGAACAGGAATGCGATTTAAGTGACGGGAACAAAATCAACAGTCTCTGTTTCGTGTGACAACTTTGTGAGGTTTTGCTAAAGTTAAAAGGTTATGTCATCCCCCTGCACCACCCCTTCCACTTCAGCTCAACCCCAAAAACAGCCCACAGGAAGTTGTTTAATCGCAGTTGTTTAATTATAGTCTCAGAAGATTTTCTAAGTCGTCACCACAGCTACAGATCGATGGAAAATTATTCGCATTTTTGTGGTTGCACTCACAGTGGAGCCATTAAAAGAGATCTATATATCTGCTGAAAGGATCAGCATAATGAAATCATGAATGCCTTCCGATCCCTCATTCCCCTCCCATATTTTTTCTCCTCGATTCTTCTAGAAAATTCTTCTAGAAACTTGCCAGCACACAATTACTTCTTTCTCCTCCAGCTGTGAAAAACAAAAACTCCATTTCTGACTCTGCATGCACTTGGGTGTGGGCGAGATGGTATTCTTGTAAATGGATTGCTCATATTGTGGGAACGTAAATATTATACACATCTACAAAGTAGGAATCCGGCCTTCTTACATCTAATGATGACGACTTTGTTTATGTTCAGAGTAGGAAAAGTTTAGTGTTAGAAATAATGTAGAAAACCTTTGAAGTGATGGAATCAAGACTCTTGTGCTCTTTGGTGTGTGTGTGTGTGTGTGTGTGTGTGTGTTTGTGTGTGTGTGTGTGTGTGTGTAGGCTTGCTTACAATGACAAAATTCGCTGCCACAAATGGAGGAGATAAGACATTAAATTAAACATTCTGTAACCATTTAGCAGACAGACTTTCATTTCTAGCAGTTTAAAAAGTATTTATAGGAATATCTACCTCACTGCCTCTATCCAGTCATTGAAAGGAAAACCTCTGTTGACACCTGCATCTCCAGAAACCATGTAAACATTCGTGGAAATGAGCAAGCGCCTTCTCCATCTGGAAAGAACAAAAAAACAACTCAAAGAGTACAGACTGAAAAAGTGGATAACAACTAATAATAATATAACAGAATGTACTCTTAAGAAACCTGGAGTGCATATAAACTTATATTATCATGAGGTAAGTGACCATGTAGTGTCATTAAGTGACTGCATGGTACCACAGCTGCCGGGGGAAATTAGTTTTTGTCACGAAATCAATCAATGTAGAGCAGTGTCACAAACCACGGAGGCCCCAGGAAAGTGCAATCAAACGGTGAGTTTATTAACACCCAGGAGAAAACATCAGCATATGTCTTCTGACAAAAATACATGTTGAGAACACTTTTAAAGCAGTGAGGTATCCGCCCCCCCCATGGCGTAAAAATAGGTTAAAGACATCAGTTACAGTAAATGGTACATTTTAGATGGCTATAAACAGACATAGAACTTCTCATTTCTATAACATCTTCCAAACAAGGTAATAACTTCAAGCCTTCGAGGTCTCTGAGGGCTGGTTGTCGACTCCGGTCATCTGTTACCAAGTAGGCTAAAATGCAGTTGGAAGCTAAATGAGTTAAGGCCTCAGGCCTGACACATTCCTAGATTATATGTATTGTAAGCATGCATGCAATTATCCTTCTATGCTTTAGTCCTTTTCACAATAGATTGTGAAGACTCGCGCTTCATAAAGCTTAAGACCTTCTTGTAGACTAATGCAACAACTCTAAATGAGCACAAATATTATGCAATGTGTATGAAATACTCCTGGCTGTATCTGTAATAAAAGTTAACATAATGAAAGGATCCTTAAATTAACATCTTCAATAAACAACTTTAATGCGATATCAATACTGTGAGAAATATTATTAAATGGAATAATGCTGTAGAGAATGTTATTAATGCAATTATAATGATGCAGGTTATATGGCAGCAATAAAAGAATTTCTGTATCTCCACATTTTACAAAGGGCTGGAGGGGAAAAACTAAATCAATACAGGGGAAAGATTAATAGGATCAGAACTAGCAATGTTCCTCTAAATCAGCAGATGGCTTACAGATGGCTTTGGCCACTCACTCTCATACCTTTCAGTCTAGTTCTTGAGTAATCGGTAATCTGCTATACCTCAGAGTTTTCTTGCAGTTTTCCTTATGTTAAAAAAAAAATACAATTTAGAATTGGTTCTTTGCCAAGTTATTAGCTAAATGTGGACACCACACAGGTCATCCCCTGATTATGTTTGAATTGTTTATAGATCAGTGGCTTACAAAACAGCAATAACAAAAACATTCCTGTGAGATTGCTCAGGTACAAGGACCAGACTGAAACTAGGTCAATAAGCAGCCAACGACTTTGAAAGAAAAATGTTTAAGACCTTCAGGATGTCTACTTTTTAAATAATTACAAATCTGACTTCCTGGAATCAAAATATAAAAAATGAGGGGTTGGTCTCGACTTTTTGCATAGTACTGTATTTCAACAGAGATTGTAAGGTAAGACAACATGACATGATGCATATCTGTGAAGATATGCCTGCAGTAATGCAAAACATTGCTTTGCATTACTGCAGGCCTCCCAGATTTGATCTCCCCGTCTGAATGATAATTAGCAGCGATAGTGGAACAGCCCTAAGACATAACAGATAATCTAAGCCAATCAGAAGAACATAGCTGTGTGCTGCACGCTGTTGTCATTAACCTAAAAACGAGCCTATGGTAGGGAGTGCCGCGGTGAACATGCTATGGGCATGCATATAGTCCGTGGGTTCCTACCAAAGATTTGCTCGCATGTTTCGGACTATTTGGGATAATTAGCACAAAATTAGCACACCTTCCTTCGTACTGTGAAACATGAGGAAAATATGGAAAAAAAATAATGCGAATGTGTGTACAGAAATCCGAGGTAGCGAATATAAATACCCGGCTACACACAGGCCTATTAGCCCTCCTTATTCTGAGTGAGAGCGCAAGAAAACCCATGCATCCGAAATTATCTTTAAACAGCACTTCTAATATGCTGAAAAACATCTCCAGAATAAAGACATACTGTGTATTTAGTTATTTTACCACCATGTTAATGTCAAAAATTTAAAAAAAAAATCTCACGCCTATCCCCTCTTTGTCTATCAAATAAGCTGTCAAACGTTCAGTCAGAGCTGAAAAACAACAACCCCAGAAAAAAATCCCCTGCCGAAGACGGGGACACGGGCCTTTAAAGCAGCACCCCACTGTAAAAAAAATCAAATAAGCCCACAGCTCACCTCAGTTAAGACGCACACTACAGACTCTTTCACCTCCCTGCTGCACGGAGCTCGCCCCTCTCTCACGAATCTGTTCCTCGGAGGTCTTGAAAACGATTATGCGGGGGGAAGAGGCGCAGAGAGGAGCTGCCGCGCATCGCAGCACTGCAGGCTGTTGGACGGATGCTCCCCCTGCAGCAACAGCGGCTGCAGCGCAGCGGTGAGCGCACCGATATCGCCGCTACACCAGACTCATCAGCGGTCAGTCAGCTGAGCACGCGCACACACAGACATAGAGGAGAGGATAACACTGAACTGACTGCACGATTTCTCAAAAAAAAAAAAAAAAAAAAAAAAGGAGAATTATGATCAAACAATAAGATTTATGTCTACATACATATTTAGATTGGTGTGTGTGTGGGCGTCTGTGCACACAGTCGATAAATATGTGTACTGCTTTTTCAGCTTTTATAGTATCTCACCCTCTGTACTTCCCCTCCTCTCTGGTATTCTGTTAAGGAATGCTTTTTTTCTTCAAGGAACTTTTGATTTTTTCCTCACCAGATATTTAAACCCAGTAGTTTGACTGCACTTTTCGCTCAGCTCGGTGTGTACTTTTTGGGTATCATATGAATCGTTTTATTGTTTTGTCATTATTTTACCTAATTGTTATTGTAAACCTTTAAAATCAGTTACTTGGGACTGCTTTGCATCAAAACAAAATGAGACAAACGAAGACACCCCCCACCAAACATTTTACCATGCGACAGCCCGCCTTGTCTTCGTGCTTATGTGTGAGCCTATTTCATCGCAAGACAGGCGGTGACAGCGGAGATGTGCTGTTATTCATTAGCGTGCTAAATATAGCACAAACACGCCGTTCATTGACTCTCCGCTGGTATGAAAACCAAACGCACCTCAGAACTCGGGAAAAACTTTGATTGACTTGGAAATTGGCCAATGACAAAGCAGGGCTTTTCACCTCGACCAATCCGCTGCTACCATGTCAGGCATTGTGTGTTGTTGCTGTCAGATAGGGGTAAGAGGCGAGAGTCAATGATGGCTGCTTCCTTGGTTTGGTTGTTAAAGAGACTGTACGTTTTCTTGTTGACATGTCCCCTCTGTGTCCCGGGCTTCTTGAATTTGGAGGAGCTTAATGACATGAAATATGGGATTCAGATTCTTCCCGATCCTGTCATCCTGGGGCAGGTGAGTCAGAAAATGCTAACGGATATAGCTTGTTAGCTTAAATATGAGCTAGCGTTATTTATTTACTATTAATAGTGTCAAATAATTCACAAAGCGTGAGACCTGATGTCATAAAAGCACAAAACATATTAAAATAAATCTTATAGAGTTACATGAAGACGAGTAATTCTCAGGTGAAGTACGTCACAGCATGCTGTGACAGCTGTTATGTTCATTGCCACATGTCTATAACTAGCTAAAAGTAAAGCCGCAAACCATGTTTTTATCTGTTTGCATTCACCTGATGCGTTGGTAATGTGTGAACATGTGTGTCAACATTAAATTCACCCCCTTTTCCATGTCTGTCTCACGTTTGTAGACTAAGACAGAGGAGGTTATGATGGTGTCCAGTAAGTACAAACAGCTCTATGAGTGTCGACTTCCAGCCCAGGCTGTGCGTTTTCATCAGGATCCCGCCACTGAGCCTGACTCGGAGGGTTACACTGGGCCAGATATCCCAGACCTGCTCAAGCCCATGCACAATGCCCCATGTCTACTCAAGGTTGGTCCTTAACTACTTATCTGTGTAATCCAACAGAGAAATGCTTAAGCTGTTTACACAGTGGTGTGACTACAATAATAATACAACAATAAGAACACAAGAGCAAAACACACCGAAAGCGTGTGTATATTTGCCAGCTTAAGTAAACCATTTTTAAAACGCACATGGATGCCCCAGAAGCTTGCCAAAAACAACACTGGGAGGCTCTTGATTCAGTATTCATTGGATTAAAGGTTGCTCGTCTGCATCAGTGACTGGGTACAAAAGCAGTATATCTAAGAGACACACATCTGTTAATGTACCTGTGTTTTCAATTGTTCAGCTTATGTGTTAATTTAAGGTTTACCCAAAAGCCCACAAGTACTTTATCACTATCTTCTTGCTCACAGTGCATCTTATCCATGTATCTCCTTACAATGTGTTTTTTGTATAGTCATGAGACAAAGAAAGTTTGTCACACTTTCCGCTTCCATAGGCATAAAGAGGTTAAGTCACAGCCTGGTGCTGTTAATCAAATGTGCTTGATTAATTGATCATGTGCTCTGGAGCATTCAGGTGTGTTAGCACAGTACCAACGAGGAAAAACAATACCAAAGATCTCAAAGAATCAGTTGTTTCTGCCCATCAGTCTTGATGAGTTATAAAGCTATTGCCTTCAAAATGAACTCCATCATTCTACAGTAAGAATTTTTCCCAACATTTGAGACAGCCGCCAATATTCCCAGGAGTTGATGTCCCAGTAAAACCCAAGGTCAGCCTCTGCAGTCCTCAGAGAAACTGGGAAAATACCCAAGAGACTAGCTCAAACTCCACAGGCCGCAGTTAGAATGTTAAATGTTAAAATGGTAAATGGCCTGCATTTGTATAGCGCTTTACTCAGTCTCTAAGGACCCCAAAGCGCTTTACACTACATTCAGTCATTCACCCATTCACACACACATTCACACACTGGCAATGGTAAGCTACGTTGTAGCCACAGCTGCCCTGGGGCGCACTGACAGAGGCGAGGCTGCCGGACACTGGCGCCACCGGGCCCTCTGACCACCAGTAGGCAAACATGGGGTTAGTATCTTGGCCAAGGATATTTGGCATGCAGCCAGGAGCCATGCAGCCTGGGATCGAACCACCAATCTTCTGATTAGTGGCTGACCTGCTCTGCCACCTGAGCTACAGCCACCCCAAAGTTCACAACAGTACAGTTAGAAAAAGACTGAACAAGTATGACTTGTTTGGAAGGGCTGCCAGAAGAAAAGAGCATATTCTCTAAAAACAACATGGGAGTCTGACTTAGATTTTCAAAGTTACATCTGATTAAACCACAAGACTTCCTGAAAAATAGTCCTCATTTATAGGGCTGCCACGATTAGTCGACTAGTCACGATTACGCGTTGTTTGAAGCTTTGTAAGATCACAAAAGACGCAGGAATAAGTAGTAGTATTTAAGAGTGTAATAACAGACTAAAACAGAAGATGGCAGCACTGCATGTACAAGGATGCCAGCTGCCGTTAAACCCCGAAGAAGTAGCTCTCTCCCAGAATTCATAGCGCAGCCCAGCTCAGTTTCCAACAATGGCGGTAGCTACTTAGTTTTAATATTACTCTTATTATTCTTTCTGGGTCACAAAATAAACGTTTAACATATTTTTAGGCGAGAATGTAACTGTGTAAACCTCAAATATCTGCTCAGTTTATCAAGACACCACATATTTTCAAAAGCGCTCCGGCGTTTTCGGAGACGTCTGTTACCCACTAGCTCGATAGCTAGCTGGGGGCTAGGTCACTAGCGCCGTGAGAACACCGGACTCCCGACAAATCATTTTCAAACCCACCGCGGTCTTTCGCTACTCAGATTAAACATACATAAGTCACTTAGATAACTTAAAAATGTTATTGTTTGGCTTTTTTTTTTAGTATTTTATTTGTTCCTGAGTAAATCGGTTTGGCTGAGATTAAAGTTATAGTTTTTACACAGCTGAATAAACGTCAAGCAGACAGCTGATTATCAGAAGTGTGAGATGCTGGAGAATATACTCCGGTGTCCTGTTATATTTTAGATAGCAAGGAGTTTATTAAACTTCACTGAAACAACCTGCAAATTTCATTAAAATTTAATAAACTATCATCTTGTCTTTATTTTTAGTTAGCACATACCTTAAACACTTAAAGCTTTAATATAAGAGCAGATGCATGCTGGTGCAATAAGCTGTATGCTGTATGTCCAATGGATGCATAATCTGATTAGTTGACTAATCGCAAAAATAATCGTTTGTGGCAGCCCTATTTACAAATATATGCGTGGGACCGTTTCAGGCTTAGGCACTGTGTCAAAGTCTAACAGAAATACCTGTCCTGCAGACGAAGGACTGGTGGACGTACGAGTTCTGCCATGGCCAGCATATCAGACAATACCACCTTGAAGGTGAGAGGCCACTTCTCTGTTTTTTTTTTTTGTTTTTTTTAACCTACAAGAGGCTTTCAGTTATTGTTTTTGACAAATTTTGTTCTTTTGTCCTTAGACACAGAGATCAAAGGAGACATTCTCTTCCTGGGTTATTATGAGTCAGAATTTGATTGGAGCAATGAAACAGCAAAGGTAAAGTTGCCTCTATGTTGTGGCTGATTTGCATGACTGTACAATATGAACCAAACAATCGTGGGTGCATCCATTGTGTTTTTTCTCTCAGGCCTCCAAACAGCACAGGCTAAAGCGGTACCACAGCCAGACCTATGTAAATGGCTCTAAGTGTGACCTAAATGGAAATCCCAGAGAGACTGAAGTCCGGGTGAGATATTTACATTTGGAACACATCCTGCTTGAGATGATTTGTGTGTTTCACTTTTTTTTTTCTTTTTGATTTTTGACTGTCTCCTTGCTTATCCAAACACTCATATGCAAAATGCCTGTGCAGATTTATAAGCCTTTCACTTTTAAATATATCCCAAGCAGCAGACATTTTGAACATGAATATGTTTTATGTTTGCTTTGCTTAAAAGACTCAGCTGAGTTTTAATTTTTAAAGAAATTATTATTGTTCTTTGTTGTAGTGTAGTCTAGTCAAAACAAGTTATAGCATCTTAACTGTCTCCATTTTTACCTCCACTTTAATGCCAGAGTCATCTTTGCGATTCCTTCTGTGTCGAAATATTTATGAATAGTTTTGAGGGAGGTCAGGTGGGAGACGCTGGCTAGTTTTTCTGGAAAAATTAAAACTGTGACTTAGACATTAGTTCAGATCATGACAGCATGCTTTTTTGTGTACTTAAAAGAGCAAAAAATACTTCACATGCCAAACGCAAAGTTTGGCATGTGAAGTATTTTGCTCATCCTGATACTTTATTGGGTCCAAAAAGTAAACCTGTTTGACCTTATTAAATGAAGGAACCCGTCATCTAGTCAGCTGTCTTAATCTCATGGAGCGGCCAGTTTTTTAGTGCTAAACAACCCTAAACCCCCAAACTAATTAAGACAAATTGCCATCTGAAAACTAATGGTTTTGAGATTAATTTAGGCAAGTGCTTTGCT